TTTTTTTTCTTTTTGCTACATAATGGGCTTAAGATTTGGGGGTCAGATGACCGACTCGTTGGCACAGACTTTCAGATGTCAATTCAATTCTTGTATGTGACCCTAGGGGGACTCCACAAATTTGACAGAAGAGCAGAAAAGATTGGGAGAGAATATAATTTACTTGTACGATGGTCCAGAGGTAAGATCTGACACGAGGTCTTCGGATTCGAAGCCTCGTAACAGGGTAAATTAAAAAATTGTATTGATTTAATTCAACAATGAAAAGCAACTGCACATAAAAGGCACCTTCTTCTCCTCCTGTGCTTTCTTCCAGATGCTCATGGCCTGAATGAACTGCGTCTTATAGGAAAGCTCAGCGTCAGAGTGTGCTGCAACACAAACACCAGTTCAAACAATAAAACATTAACGAATATTATGTCCAGACAGATGGATCGTCTGTGTGAGCTCTGTAACGAGTGTGTACCTGTTTGCTGGTCTGATGGTGTCATCTCAATGACGTGTGCTTGTGAAAGAGCATTTGCGAGCTGCTCCTTTAGTTTTCTCACTTCCGCTTGCAGCTGTCTGACATTACCCTGAGTGTCCTCATTTACCATAGCCTACAGATAGGCACAGATTAGCCTTCTCGTTGCACCAATTCTTCAAGAATATTAAGATGATGAATGAATGTTTGGATAAATAATTATGTTGCTCAACCTTATTTTTGATGAGTTTGGCTCTCTGAGCGAACTGCAGAGTGGAGAGCGTCTCTCCAAAACACTTGGAGCCAGGATGAACGTTAGCGATGATGTACGTCTTAGCGTTTCCGCCCAGAGAGTCCTGATCACATGAACAGCAGTTAGACACGATTTACTCATCTGCATATTTACAGACACATTCGTAAAGAGCCCTCACCCGGAGCAGGAAGGTCAGTTTCGAATCTCTGTAACAAATGTGACGGTTCTTCCCATTTGACACATCCATCAGGGCCATGATCACCTGACCAAGACACATCAGTGACCGGTTTATGCTGCTTGCCTCCTAAAGCATAAGTCAAAAGGTTACGGTTTAATTTAAAGTAATAACAGTGGAGTAGTCACAACAGTGTAGTCACCATTAAAACAAGAATGGC